TGAATACAAACAAGGTAATACATTATTAACTTTGTTTGATTTTAAATTCCAATTGTCTCCTGTTCAATGTTGGGAATGTGATTTAGTAATTTTTTGAAGATGGAGATCATCTACTTTGGGGTGTGGCCTGGATTCAAACTATTAAAGTTCCAACAGTTTTCTGTTCTCAGAACCAGTAATCAGAGGAGACTCACCTGATTATAGCTTCCAGATTTATTGAGTTTTTCTTTTCTTTTCCAGACCCATTTCGATCCCGTGCAAAGACTTTCTCTAAGTGCTCTGCTGCCCAGCTTTTTCATTTACCTGCTTCTTTTTTTTTTTTAAGATGATTGCAGCCAGACTAGAACCTCCTCCGAGCATCCATCCTGCAGTAAGGTTAAAACTAAATAATTTTCCAAACATTACATTCAATCATAACTCTTTGGAGCCAATATTATCCCCCCTAAAGAGGACAGCATTCAGCTAGACAAAAGAACATGTTTTCTTGCATGTTGGTTAGAAAAATGCTTGTAAATGCTTGTCCTATGGTTTCATAAATTAGCACTACACATTATATTAAATCTTTTTAGACCTGCATAACACAAGGCATATTCTCACCGTCCAGTTTCCATTAGCAGAAGGACATTGGCATAAATGCTTAAAATAGACAAAAAAACCAATATGGCCATTATCACAGAGGCTGCAGTCGGGCATAAACTCAAAGTGTAAAAATTAGTTGTTCATTTTTATCCATAGAGTACAAACTCATACCACAGCTTAATTACACTGAAATCGCCTAAACCAAGGAGGCCTTTATTATAAAATATATTTTTAATTATGAAATATGTTTATTAGATGCATTGAGTGATCTTGTTTATGTAATCAACACACTGGCTTTGTAAATCTGTCCTTTAAACAACAAATCAGTCAAAACTCTCAAAAGCAAGTTTCTTAAAGCAGTATTAAAGGTGTAGTGGAGGATTTTCACATATTTTTTAAAACACCGGCCGCTTTATAAAAGTGGGGAGGGCAGGAAAGGGAACACCTATTAAACACTTGCGAGAGCATTCACAAGCCCATTTCTCCTCGTGCATGCTCTGTTTAAAAGTTGCTATTTGGAACACTCATACAAGCTCACTTTCCAAAAGATGATTTGCAATTTTTCCACTATGTCAAACTCATATTCGGTGAGCGAAAATGGGGACGAGCACGTAGGACGGCCTTACGTTAACATATCACCAGAATGATAATTCGGAGGACCACTGCTATTAATGATCCACCCGGAAATAAAACATCCGCCACTATAACTTTAAAGAAGTTTCCATTTTGGTCGATTTGCTAACTTTAGCAAAATAATGTCATATTATGTGAAAAAAAAGAAACATTTAACTTTGGTTTTGTGACGTTTTCCTGCACTGCCCCCCACCATCACCTCACCCGACTCATCAGCAACTGATGTGCTGACTAGTTTAGACCCTTGAAACATATACATACATATAGTGTTATGTTTTATAATACCATAGTAAACACGAGTAGATCGCCAGAAGTTCTGCATCGCCTGAATATCAACCCTGCACAATTTGCTCAAATAGTCTCTCAGGGAAACGTAGTTGCATCAAATTCTGTCAAATCAAATGAGGAAAGGTTGAAGTGACATACGCCAAAAAGCAGTCTGCACATTCGTACTTGTTTTGTGTGGCAGGGATACTGCCAACTTCCTGAAAGTTGCTGCCGGAGAAAGCGTTTAGACCCCCTCGGGCTACAACAGAGGTGTCATTCAACTAGTTGTAAGTCGAAATGTAATAGCAAAAGTTCTGAAAATATTTCATGAAAGTTGAAAAGTTATTTAGTGTTGATTAAATTGTATGTCAGAAATTCAGTGGGATCAAAAGGCATGAAAGTTGGCTTAGCATGTCTCATTCAGTGACCTTTTTTTCTTTTAAAGTGACACAAATCTATTTAGGTTCAAATGAATGAGTATACGACCCTCTGGCAAAAGGTTCAGTAGCATTAAATGCAGGATGAACGGATTTTACTACAGATTAATATCCCACATCCTAACACTGCTAAGGTTTAAATAATTCCCCCTTTACATACCGTATAAGGAAATTTTACCTGGACACTGATCAATAGTGCAACTGGACTATCTAAACTATCATATAGTCCAATTAAACTGTTACCACACCTGTTGCTTACACCATTCATATCATCTTATTTTCCATGTGTTTACTTGGTACTTAATTCCTGATTTGCTGAGATTTATCAAATACATTGTCGCTCTCTTCTAAAGGGCCAGCATATCGAGAGTGGTGGTGTATAGTGCAAATAGTTATGAAATTTGCTAAATAAATCCAAAAAGTTGTATGACTTAAAGAAAAATAAAATTAAGCAGGAAAAACAAAAAGCAAGACCAGTTTTTTTACTTTGAAACACCTTGGCATTATTTAGAAGTCTCAGGCGAGATAAGGCTTAAAGCTTTCCCTGTGCTGCGTGATAAGACACATGTGATCATGTTCCTTGTTTCCATGGACACATTAGAGAACTTCCCCAGCTGGTTTCAACTACTTGAAGTGTTAAAGGCAAATAGCAAGTGAAAGATTTGATCATAACCAGGGTGAAAGCAAAAGTTACTTTTCAAGTCCAGCACTCAGACAGGACAGGGTCCTTAGGGGTCACGGGAAACGATATTAGCCCATGAGGGATGTTGTTTTGATTTTCTCCTATTACGTCTATTTTTCTATCATCGTATAAAGTCATTCTTTATTTGAAGTTTGCTCCCTTCTCAGCATATGCACTTTATTAATAGAGGTTTCAGAATAAAGTGGTGTATTAATTAATTCAAGTACCCTTGTAACACCCCATAGGCTACATTAAAGTTGACCTTTATACAAAGCAATGCTGATCACATCAGCCCCTGTGAAACCAACATATCATTAGAAATGTATTCTCATGCATCCCTCAAGTTATGCTAATTTGATATCGTTTCTAAATTAATTACCAAGCCCAGCCTTTGACTTTGCCAGCTTAGTATTGTGCAGCGTGTTGGGATTTCAGAATAAACTCTGAAATAAGCTGCAGTTAAAGAAGAACATAAATGAGTACGGATTACGATATTATGTGTAGAAACATGCAGGCTATATCAGGCGAGTTACTGTGTAATTATGAATGTAATTACCAGGTGAAGAAGATAATTAGTTCTCTATAAAACTTTGCACAATTAACAAATTCAGGCAATTAGGGAAATAGGGAAAAAAACTTAACAGTTAAACTTTTAATTCAAACATTTGTGCACATAAAGTAGAATTTCACTGACAGTTCAATTTCCATGGGGATGAAAAAGTCTCTTCTTTTATCCATGATTCTTGCGCCCTCTTCAGGTAGACAGAGGAACTGAAGAAGAATTTACTGTTGTTTTCTTACATCTTACCTGGTTGTATTGGGCTAAGAATGTAAGGAGTAAACAGATGCAATAACAGATTGACACAGAAAAAAATGTAATTTATTTGTATTGTTTATCGATTAGGTAATGAAATAAAGTTTGCACGCCCCAAAATAGGTTGAAATTGATGTTTGTGTTGCTTACAGTTGCATGCATAAATCTTTCTTTGTGAAAATATCAAAGCAAGTTTAAAATGTATATTTTTTAATCACTAGCAAATTGGATAGTTTGAATATTTTTTCCAATTCACTGCCAACTGCATCTAGTGAAAGTTTTAATATTTTCCATCTGGTAAATGTCAAGTTTTTACAATCACAATTTAAGATTTAAACAACACCTCATTCTAGTTTGCAAAGACGTAGTGAAACAGGAAATTTTCTTTGCAGTAAAAAAAAAAAAAAAAAAAAAAACTGCCAAAAAAAGCTGTTAATAAACTGTCATTCCTGATATTAAATGTCAGAGAAAATGTTTCTTTATAGAACTTAAAAAAAGGAAAAAGCTTTACCAGTGGACAAAATTGAAAAACCTATAATGGTTAAGCCTAATGTTTTCTAACCAATGCCAATGTTTAGACTCCTGGATAGATGTCGAAACATCTTCAGAAAAACTGAGCAGAAGTCTGGTTTCCTCAGATTTAAGTCTGTTTTGTCGTTATCTCTTTTTTGTTCGACTAATCTATTGAAAATCGGATAGCGAAAGGTTGCTTAAAGAAATTAAACCATGTAAAACTAAAACTTTTCCTCTTGAGGACTTCTTGATAGAGCATATTGACGGACTTGCAATTAGTATTTAATACCCTGTTCAATTACCTGTGCAATAATCCTGTTAAATTCAGACTTCAGTTTTTATAGTTATCTTACTACCTCACTGTTATTCCTTACCTGATACCACTTTAATATATAAGGCCATCCATATGTGTATAAATCCCCTTAAATGTACGTAAGTCCCATTAAATCTCTGGCCTATTTCTTTCTTTTTCTTTTTTTCCCTCTTCCCAATCCTTTGTATATGTTTATATATGTGGACGCAGTTTATATACCCCAGGCACCTTTTCCTCCTTTTGGCACCTTATTTTGACTATTGAGCTGATGTGACAACTGTGAGATCAATAAAGTCTATCTTATCTTATCCTTTTTTAATGTCTGTATAATTACCGCCGTTGGTCACTCTGTCAGCTAAAGGCATGTTTTAAAGTCTCTATACTGCAGTAGATTTAACGTTTAATGGATTACTAAATTTGTTGAAGATTATTCACGATTAATTGAAATATTTCTTTCAGTCCTAGTTCAGACCCTTTTCTGTGAGATTAAGACAAAACAGAGATATTATTTGATCAGAATGTGAGCGTCTATTTCTCAGTCGATTTGGTCTGTGTGCTGTCTAACAGCAGTCAGAAAATTGACTTATATAGAATGATATGATAGGATTGAAAAAAATCTGTACAGGATACTTTTTCCGTGTAATTCGTAGTATGTTATTATTATGTCATTTTCTTTGAAATGACTGTACGCTCTTTAAAAGTGCAGGCTGACTCCTGTCCAGTAGGTGGTACTGTTAACGGATTAAAGATTGTGACGTGCGCAGCTGCCACGAAGAAGCCAATCAAGCCTTTCCAGTTTGGCCCGAATGTGTCTCCAAATGAGCACAAAATGTGATGTTATTCAGTGTCAGTGCGGTGTCTACCTTTGACCGTTGATACCTGCATGTCATGGCGGAATATCCGCCCCTACCGGACCAAAACATACCGACCAAAACAGACTGTTACCGTTTCAGCTGTTCGTGTTGTTATTGGAGCTAGCATTAGCCTTGGATAAATTAGCTAACGCTGCTGTTATTTTATACTTCAACATCATTGATTCATCCCTGCAAGTCAGAAAGCCGCTAAACAAGGTAACTACGTTGCACTAATGAGCAATAACCAGTTAATATCAAGGTTATAATATTTTGATTGTCTCAGCCGTCTGTATTCGTTTTTCTTAAAATAAATAATAAGAAACTTGTGAGTTTAGGAAGAAACAGCTCAGGCAAAATGTTCTCTGTTTCTACGGTTAAGGTTAGCTAACGGAGTTAGCAGGCTAGCTGTTTGGAGATGTAGCAGCAGACAGTCAGTGAGCTGACCCTGGCTCAGCACAGCCCGTCTGTCCGAGTGAAAAGGTGGAAATCATGTCCTGCAAAGCCGCAACCAAGGACAAGAAGTCGAGCTTCAGCAAGAAGCTGTTCAGGCGAGGCTCGGTGCGCTCCGTGGGCAGCTTTATGAGCAGAGTCCTCAGGACGCTGACAGCCTTGTCACACTTTGGATCTGAGGTACAAATCGAGGATGACAAGGATGATGGGGGATTCTCCGCTTTCAAATCTGGGAATGAAGATGTCCCCATGGATGATGGGGACTTTGGTGGTTTCCTGTCCGGAGAGAGAGTTCCTGGGGTGTCAGGTCTGAAAAACCACGGTAACACCTGCTTTATGAATGCAATACTGCAGTGCCTGAGTAACACTGAACTCTTCGCTGAGTATCTGGTTTTGGAGCACTACAAAGGCGAGGAGTCGGAGGAAGATAAGCCCAAAACAAACGGCTTGCATCTGCAGAAGAAAGGTCCTCTGGGCAAAGGAGAGGTGACTGAGCAGCTGTCAGGACTTGTTCGGGCTTTGTGGACGTTTGAGTACACACCTCAGCATAGCAGGGACTTTAAGGTAAGAACCCAAACCTAATGAATGGGTATTAATGTGACTGTGCATTCACAGAGACACCCCAACATGTCTTTAATCTGTAATATATGCATCATAACTAGACCATGAGGACATTTAATCATACCATGTCCATCCATATGGAGCAATGGTGCTGGGATTATAAAAAGTTCAATACCCACATTGTCATTCCATTGTGAGATCAATGGTGTTCAGTTAGTCTTATTATTATTACGTTAAATCCAGGCTTCTCTACAGTCCCCTCAGGTGTGAGTGTGTGTGTGAATGGTTGTTTGTCCTGTTTGCCTCATTCTTGCCCTCCTATGGACTGGCGACCTGTCCACGGTGTACCCCGCCTCTCGCCCAATGACTGCTGGAGATAGGCACCAGCACCCCTTGCGACCCCACTCGGGATAAGCGTGTTAGAAAATGGATGGATGGATGTTAAATCCATATATTTTTCCTTTCTAATCAGTTATTTTAGTTCCTCCAACTCTTTATAACCTTTACCATCATGGGATCTTGGCACAGACTTCCATAATATAAGTAAATATCCACAGTCCAACTTTATTTTAAAAGGTGGGATCGTTTTTTTTTTTTTTTTTTTTTTATAAAGATGCACCCATCAGGCTTTTTGGGCCAGTTCCTTATTTATTATTTCCTTTGTTTTGTATAATTGGAACAATACTGCTCTATTCTGTTGTTTGATTCAAATGCTTAAAAAGAGCTGCTATAAAGGAAGATACCTTTGATAGATGGTTAGATGACATCATAAAATATTTATTACAGTCTTGTGAATTGAACAGAAATTGCATCGTGATGGATATTTTCTAACATGTCATCATCCAAACAAAACCAGTTTTGTGCAACCTGTTTAACAAGATAACGTAAAGCCTTGCATACTTTAGAAGATGGCTGATGTCACCACAACTTGACCAGTTTAAATAGACCTGCGTCCATCATTCTACTCTTAGACCTCCTCACCTATGAAGAGGCAGACAACCGTAGAGCTGTCAGAAGGTTTGCAGACGGCTGCTTGGATTGTTCATGCTGAAGTCTGTAGTATAGAAGGTGACCATAAGAGGTCTGAGTGCACTTCCCCATGGGACCCCAGTACCAGCGTTTCAAAACACAGAGCCTTTTGTCCTTCTGTATTCTTGTTGGTCCAGTATCCACTGGGTCAGGTGTCGGTCCTGTCCTGATAGCTCCAGCTTGTCCCTCAGAAGTCCCAGGTCGTGCACTGATACCACCTAGGAGGGTTGATTGTCTCTGGTGCAGCTCGTAAAATATTAAATAAAGGTTTGGAGAGTAGAGGACAGGGAGACATGAGTAACATCTTAGGAGATTAGGGGAAAAAAGGTCCCGAGATTGCTTTGTTTAGAGTCTGCTGAAAATGGAATGGATTGGAGGAGGTGGTTACCTATGCTGTCATTGTTTTCACATCAATCCATGCTCACAGCAGATAATAGAGCTTCCTGTCCTTACTAAAGAGCTGCTGTATCAAGCTTCAGGGTTTTTGGTGTCCTAAAACTGTTAGCTGTGTCTCTGCTTCAACACACCTGACACCAATATGAGCTCATTATCCCATCTCTACTTTTGATTGATGTGTGTAGAGCAAGGGACACATTGAAAAGTTGCTGGACACCAACTAAAGATTTGAGTTTGAGACCACCAGGCCTATTAGCGCTTACCCTGTTCAGTGTTTCCCATCTATCATTCACAAACAAAGCCAAATCTCCCCCTTCCTCCTCGGCTCTTCGTCATAGTAAATAATAACAGTATGTTTGTGTATCTGAAGTTAGCCTAGTTAGCCACGTCTCAGGATAATTAGCCTGCTCCCTCTGTAGCTTCTCTGAAGCCAGCAAAGCCGTTTCATCTGCTTTGTTGGGAATGGGTCTTGCATTTCTCATCACGATAGACAGGATGACAGGTGTGTATCTCTCTGGTATTAAAACATCTAAAAATAAAAGCTCATCTTTAAAATTAGTTTTAGAAACTATGAAAAAATAAAAAAAATCTCTAGGCCCAGTTGGAGCTGCCTTAAACACGCTAACTCCTCAGGTAGAACCAGAAATATGTTTGCATTATATAATGTGACATTTCCACCACTATATAAGGATACAATAGAAAAACATCAAAATGTGTTACAAGTTAAAATGCAAAAATGACATATCTGATCTGTCTGTATATTTTGGTTGAGCTGGTTATATCATGATATAAATGGATCGTTTGTATCATGAGGTGCCCATACATGAATAAATGCACTAACTTGAATTGATTTATAAGCTTACGTAATTAAGTTAGTCAGATTTCTATTTGCTGAATCATTACATTTTTTATTTATGTAAATTTTTTTGCAGAATGCTGTGTCGAAAAATGCTACACAATTTAAAGGGAACTCGCAGCACGATGCTCAAGAGTTTTTGCTCTGGCTGCTGGACAGAGTGCATGAGGACCTCAACACCAACAACCCAAACAGCAGGCCTCCCATTAAGGTGAATTTAAAAGCTACTAGAAGGATAATTGGCAGCAACAGGCCAAAAAAAACTTTTTACTCCAGAATTCTTAGCTTTTTTCAACATTATCTTTAATCATTTGATATTTAGTCTATTTTGCAAACCAACTTTTGCAGTAGTTTGACTAAATTATACTTGTCTGATCTTGTTCTTCTCATTGATTTAAGAACTGAACAGATTTGAAAGCAGCATAGATTGCAAAACAGCTTATGAACCTGATGGTAACTGTAATTATATTCAGTTGGTTTAATAATTCTCTTATCCAACCAGCCTCCTATTGAAGAAGATGACCCGAGCATAGAGGGACCCTCTCCTCCCCTCTCTGCTGGCTCGTTTGTGCAAGAGCTGTTTCAGGCACAGTACAGGTTGGCTTAATTCCTTAAAAGTCTGACAACACTATTTCTTGATCACCTGAAGAGATTCCTGTCTTTCCCTACAGGTCTTCTCTTACTTGCCCGCATTGTCAAAAACAGAGCAACACCTTTGATCCCTTCCTCTGTATCTCCTTACCAATCCCCCTGCCACACACACGGTGAGTTCCCCTTTAAAGATCTGTTATGGAACAGCAGGGAGGATCTAGTTTTTAGTGCTCGCTTGCAGGTCCCTGCATGTAAGCCCTAAAAATGGGTGTTTTCTAATCTCTCCATACGCATATATGTGTTTTGAGAAGCTTACCAGGGTGTGAAATGAAGATGAAGCGTGAGTGTGTGTGGTTAGAAAGCAAAGACAGGGAACCTGTTCAGGCTTGGAGTGCTTTGGGGCACACGCATCAAACAGGTCTGCTTCAGTTTTTACACAGATAAAAGCCACAAAAAGAGATGAGAAACAAATGACAATACCTGGAGCATGTTGTAATCTGCATGTTAACAGAAACATGTTTCCTTTTTATATATTTATATTTAAAAACATCTGAACTGAGAGCAAAGTGGAAACAAACCACACTTCTTGTGTGCACAAAACTGCCTCTTAAAGCTCATTCCAAATCTAATGTTATAAAGCAGCCACATGCATCTTTTCTCTTTAAGCTCAAAACTTTGCTATTCAAGTATAGAGGATTTTTCTGTTTTCCTGACATGTGCTAATTGGCAGTTTTCTGCCTTATTAGGAATTAAGACATGATTTAGCAAAGAAAAATGATTGGATAAGAGCAAATATCACAAAGAGAAATCCCAGACGGTTTATTTAAAATATAAATTGAGTGAAAAATAGAAAATATTCAAGGACTTGGCCATGCTACAGCTGCGATTCTTTAAAATGGCTGTTTGGCACATCTTCTCTTTTAGCTTATCATTAACTTAAACTGACATTATTCAGTTGTAATACTCAGGAAAGAATTTGTTGTCTGTAATTTTCAAGATTCCTTAGGGTATACCTGTTAAAATTATGTAGATTTGTCTAAATTGCTCTGATTATTTTGCCATTTAAGGATTTTCCTCTTTTTTTAAATTATTATTGTTATTTGTTCATCGCTTCTTTTTTTGTCCTTTTTGTTAGGCCCTTGTATGTGACAATGGTCTACCAGGGGAAGTACTCTCACTGCATGAGGATTGGAGTTGCTGTTCCTCTCAAAAGTACTGTCTATCGCCTCAGAGATGCTGTGTCACGTGAAACCAAGATCCCAATGGACCAGGTGCTATTCCTGTCTCTTTCAGGCCACTGACATAGAGAAGCTGTATTGCAGGAATAAGGTTTCAGCCTATTCAGTGTCTGAAACCCGCTCTGCCTCCTGTCATGCAGCAATGTGTAAATCAGACCTGTTTTTCCTGAAGCACCACTGCAGATTATTGTTAACAATGCCGAAAAATGAGCTTAAATTGAATGTGGATTACAGCAGAAGCATTTTGTCAGCTATATCAGTTGGTAAATTTGATTTTCCTTTCCTTTAGTTTATTCTGACCGAGATGTATTACGATGGCTTTCATCGCTCATTTTGTGATGATGACGATGATCTTGACATCATCCAGGAGAGCGATTCCATATTTGCCTTCGAGACACCAGAGACCTTCAAGTTGGAAAACCTGCGCACAAAAAGAGGTATGCTTTTAAAAACTTTTCTATAGTTGTTTACACTCAGTGATACAGAAACATCAGAACATGCCTTTTTGTGTCACAGGAAGCCTGCTGGCAAACCTAAATCATAACAATTTGAAGTATGGGACAGAAATCAGCAGAACTCCATCCTTCATGCAGGGGGCGATGACTCCTCTAAGTGGATCGCCTAATAAAAACGTAGGACCAGAGAGAATTATTCTCCTGGTGTGTAACAGAGCCTGCACTGGCCACCAAGCAAAAAGGTACTGCTATGAAATTTATTATTTTATGCCTTTCTGTTTTAATCAAACATCTCATAAACCAATTTTATTTGATAATCACGGCAATGTATAATGTTTTCATCAGGTTCGGCTTGCCTTTTGTACTCTACATGGAGCGCACTGTGACTTGGGATGCTCTACAAAAAGAGATTCTGGAGAAAATGCGGCATCTTTTAAGGCCTGGCGTCTACATTCAGGTAGGAAGACTTTAAATTCCTGCCTAGATTTTGCATGTTTTGTTTGAACATTTTACTAGTGGTGGACTCTTTTATTACAGAAGTGAGTCTAACAAAAACTAAACTAATGAAAAGTGATTCTTTATTATTTAACAACAAGGTGACTGTTTGTGCAGGTTGGACCTTTCAGTCTCCGGGTGGTTGGCGTTGTTGGCATCACCTACCTCCTTCCTCAAGATGAGAGACCACTGTGTCACCCAACTGTTGAAAGGTGAGTTCTGATGTTTCATATACTTAGCAAGAACGGACAGCGACCTCAAGTTTGTTTTCACATACAAACATATTGTTTATCAGGGGTTACCAATTAAAAATCAGCAAAGTCCAAATAAGGAAAATCAACAACCGAGAAAGGTCTGGAGACATTTTTAATTATAATCTATTACTTAAGAGAGAATTTAACACTGAAATAAAAGGAGGTGTTTATGCATCCATTTTATAAATTGACTTTTTAAATAAATAATAAAAGAAAATTTTTACATTTTAAAATCTAGTGTTTTCTTTTTTAAGTAGAGAACAACAATCTTTCAGTTTGGTATATAAACAATTTCCTGAGTCACCGTTTGTTATTTTTTTTCTTTATTTTTTTATGGCTTAATGAGAGCAGTGGGCTTTAGGCTGCCCTTCAAGGCTTTAAACCTGGGTTTGATTGGTGACAAAGCCATTCTTAAGCACATATCAAGGTGCTCATTTTGAGCCTGGATGGATATATATTTTTGATAATGTTCATGGTGGAGAATCCTGCTTCACAGCAGTAGGTTGGGCCAAACATAGTTCAACGCAGTTCTTCCAGCAGTCCACTTTTTCTCATCGTTCTCTATTCTCCTTCTTTCCCATCGCCGAAATAAAGCTTCCAAAAAAAAATACATAAAAACTGAAGGTATATATAAAAAAAATTAAACTACAATAATATTTTTTCACAACTGTAATTTCAGGAATTTTTGAATTAGATGAGATGTTAGGGTTTGACTATTTTAACCATATGTTTCACATTCTGTGGCTTAAATCTGATAAAAAGATGTGATTTTTATGAAGATTGTAAAAAAACTAAAACACTTGGGGATGGAATTATCATTAAAACATAAAAAGAAATTAATTTGTAAATAATATCCTTTTTATATCTTTACCTTCTGTTCATGTGCTACTCAATTTACCTTTTGATTCAGGTATGTTTTTACATGAACGTTGAGTTAAGTTTCATCTGCTAATCCACTGCATTAATGAAAGCAGAAATACATCAAATAAAAGTGTAACCAATATAGTTTCTTGCTGGCCTTGCTGGATAAAGTAATCCATAATGTGTTGCTGTTTTTATGCCTATTGATCTTTTAATAACAAACAATAGGACCAAATTAATGGACTGTATTGGTTATGCTTATAAAAATCAGGTACTAGTTATGTTGTCTCATTACTGTCTGTTTTTACAATTAATTTTGGATCAGAGTTGAGATTTAACCAATTTTACAAACTTTTTCCCCATACTTTATTAAAATATTGAACTACAGTTAGAATTAAATTGAAAAGCTATTATTTAGGTAGCACATAATGGTGTTTACACAGTTAAGGGTAGGAAGCAGAAAGTGATGTGAACGGTAATTTGTTGGTTTAAAATGGATGTATGAATTTGTGAAGGATCTTTTAAGTAATTCTCTGTTCTTTTTATCGCAGAGCATACAAGTCATGTGGACAAGGTGGACCCCCTCATGTGAAGATTGTGGTTGAGTGGGACAAAGAAACCAAGGACTAGTGAGTTAAACCTACACTATGGAAATGAGAAAGTGGTTGCTGTCTACTAAAATACAATGAAAAAGTTTAGAAATGAAAATATGTCATTATTTAAACACACTTTCTACAAGAACCTTCAGTCAAAGCTTGTTTGTAAAGTTTGATTATTTATCCTTTTTTTGTGTCTTTTTCATCTCTAAGGTGCTAAATAATTTGCCATTGTTGCAATTTTTTTCTAACATTTTTTCACCTCATGGTGAAGAGTTTATCAAGATATTTTCAACAATTAAGTAAAGGTGTGGAGACCTAATCTGACAACTTCGATCAACATTTCAATCAATATTTTCCCCTTAAGCAACCTCAAAGTAATTGTGTAATATATTCAGGACAGTGTCCGTTTTAAACTCCTAAATATTTCTATTTTAATATTTATTGCTTTTTATAAGTGTCTGATTTAGGGACAAAAAAACAGATTTTTCTCTAAACAGATGTTCTTTTTAAAATGTTCTCGTTTTCCTGGAACAGATTTCTTTGCTTGACATTGTTGTTGTTAAATTAGGTTCTGAAAGTATTCTCTGACCTGTTTTTTTGCGAACTTTGAAGAACTGATTATAATTGACACAATTACTACCACAGTTTTGGTGTTAACATGTACTGCACTTCTGTATAAAAACCCATTGACCAAAACAATAAGGTACTCAGAGAGCACCAAGGACTCATTTCTATCTGTCCTCTCATGCTGCATGAACTGTCCTTGGTTTTCCACAGTCTGTTTGGTCATACAGAGGAAGAATATATTCCAGATGCTGAGAGTGTCTACATGCACAGACAGCAGCATCATCAGCCCCAGGCCTGCACCCTCGCTCAGTGCTTTCAGCTCTACACTAAGGAGGAGCAGGTACAAACTAGGATTCTCTTGTTACTGTTGCTTACTTTTACTCGTTTGCATGGATCTTCACGCTAGCTGCTTCCTTTCTGCGTTGCAGCAAGCCCACTCTAATTGTATTACTAGGATCTAATAGGCTGAAGTTAGAAAATCAGTCTTATTCCTGTTAAATATAATGTAAGCAAACTTTAAAATTGTGTTTTGATCAAATTGCTATTATATTGTAAATGCAATTATCTGTCCAGCCCTAGTATAAACCAGCTGTCAGAGAGAATTTTCCTGCAGTAGTTAGTCATTAATAGTATACATCCTACATCTGCCCTGGCAAAACCAGTTAATGAAAAAAAGATTGAGGGGAAAAACAGCTTTTCTTGGGTAAAGTTGAACATTTTCTGTATGCAGCTACTAATGCTATGTATCAAACAAAAAATTGCTTTTTCCTTCATTGTGGATTAACTTGCCTTGAAGTGCTTTTTCTGCAAAAGCAGTAGAGAAAATGGTCGTAGTATGTGTGCCTGTTTGTGTGTTCAGCTTTTCAGCTTGCCTTAAAAGCAGTGGTTGAAACATTTCTTTGGCTCTGTGTGTTTGTGTGTATTTTAGCTGGCTCCAGACGACGCCTGGCGCTGTCCCCACTGCAAGCAGCTGCAGCAGGGTCGGATTAAGCTCAGCTTGTGGACGCTACCAGATGTGCTCATACTGCACCTCAAGAGGTTTAGACAGGTATTTCCTCCGAGCAGGTCACTGAGTTAAGGCAGCATGATCTAGGGATCAAATAAGTACATCTTAATATGTTAGAAAATGATTAATTTATTCCAACAATTTAAGAAAAAAAAACTAATATTGATAAACCATGAATATGAAGTCATACAAATACAGTCTCTTCAGATTGAAGTTTTTTCTATACATTAATACTATGCATGGTTGACACAAACAAAGAGAACACTCCTCATTTGATAGTTGTTTATCAGCATTGCTGAAGAACCTGGATGTTACTGCATGTATGCATTATTTCTGCAAAAGGAAGAACAACAAGAACGAGGAGGAACAACCAAGTATTTAAAACATTAAATAGGAAATAGATCTCAGCTGCTACACTTACGGTTAATAGTAAAATGTTGAGTTAAGCTGACAGTACTGCTCCAAATTCAGCTATTTTAGGATGAGCGGGCATGCAAAGGTGTCTTCTATCAGAGATGATAATGTTAACATTGATTTTTTTATTTATTTTTTGTATTAAATTGTGATTAACTGATGTAAAACCAAGAAAAAGTTTGAAAAATATCTCCAAAGTGAGCAGTGCTAAGAGACACAGCAAAATGTTGGGATGAGCGGAAGATGAGCTGTGGTGAGGATGAGGGAAACAGTGAGTTTAATATGAGTAAATGTCAAGTGTTTCGGTAACTGCAGCCCACACTTGAAAGGGGTGGACCCATAACTTTAAGAGTATAGCTGGATTTACTCAGACAGAGCAGTTGAGACTTTTTCCATTCTTTTTATTTCCCCCATTTTGTGGTCAGTCTTAACAACAGTCAGGTAAAAACCTTAGGACAGAAAGACAGTTAGGATGGTTAGTGAACACATAATATTCAGGACATACAAACTATAAATGGAATCAAAATACTTGAACCAATCTAATCTCATGTCATGACAGCATTTTACAAAATGTCCCACAATATTGCACCTTGCCCAGACAATTAACCATAAATAACATACAAGACAACACCATAAAGCACAACATGGATACAGATTTTCCAAATTTACAACACTGCAGCCATTTTCAAATCAAACGAGGAGGACTTCACTCAAATTAAACATACTAAATTAAACAGCAGTAGCATTAAGATCCAATAAAAAGTCATGTTTTTTACCGGCTGCCTCTTCAGTGTTATGACATGGGTTCTAAATTCTCTGCAGCTAGTTTTAGCAGGAGTCTCTTACACAACTTGCAAGAAATTAGCTGCCGCCTTTCTAGGTGTCATTTACCCCTCCGCCAGTGTCAGGCAAAGCCCTTCAGGTGTGCACACTAATAGCCCCGCCCTGAGCTGCCACCAATTAGCAGGTCAGTGATCAGAGAAGCTAAATTAAAATTCTGTGCCAACTAAATGACAATAAACCACTTACCTGAAACATGGCAAGCCATTATCTGCTTTTCTGTTCTCCATTTTTCATTTGCATGAAATAATAGCTGCATGAATCATGACAGCAGACAAGATAGAGGAGAGCAGGAGGTGGGGTTATGAATCTACTTGCTCTGGAGAGCAGAGTTTGGTGCTTTTACGATATATTGTATGTCTTGTATATGTTGTTGTCAAAGTCTCCAGTAACAGCAAAAACTCACTAGATTTGGCGCTGAGCACTTTTTGTAATAAAAGTGCTAGGGGAGTCTAAAAAGTCACTAAATATAGCGACAGAAGCGGTAAGTTGACAACACTACTCTTCCCGCAGTTTGTTTTCAAATGATTTGCTGCTGTTTGTTTGGACTTTTCTGCACATGCGCAGCAAATGGACTGATCCAATGGAAAGGACTCCAAAGGGGGGTCCCACCGAGACACACATAAGCATTCTGATGGCATTTTAACAAAATCATTTTTTATCAAAAACATGATTAACGTGCTCAAATAAGTAAAAGCTGTAATTAAAAGGAGTTTTACAGGGCTCCCACGAACTTGGGGCCCTAGGCAACTGCCTAGTTTTGCCTAAAGGTAAATCCGCCCCTGATTCTACACATAGTTGGGGTTGTTATTCAGTCTGATTCAGGAGAAGAAGGCTGTTTTGTGAGGGGGAAGGCTTTGATGTTTTTTTTTCTTTGTTTCAGAGTAAAAGTTGATTTGAGCGCATCAGGCTTGCAATTTAGTGTTTGCAGTTTCATTCTCTTCTGTCCATAATGAATGTTATCATAACTCTAATCTGCTTGATGTTGGTTGCATCGTTTTTCAGGAAGGAGACCGGAGGGTGAAGATGCAGAACATGGTGAGATTCCCACTGATGGGGATGGACATGGCTCCACATGTGGTGAAGAGAAGCCAGAGCAGCTGGAGTTTACCTTCTCATTGGTCGCCATGGAGACGGTCCTATGGGCTTGGAAGAAACCCTGATGACTACCTTTATGACCTGTATGCTGTGTGCAACCATCATGGCAATATGCACGGAGGCCACTACACTGGTAATGCACATTTTAATGCTTCACGCATTCTAGATTCGATGAAATGCTTGTTCAATTTTTAAATTGAACAATTTTATTCTTGGTTTGTTTTCGCAGCTTATTGCAAGAACTCTGTCGATGGTCAGTGGTACTGCTTTGATGACAGTGAGGTGACCCCAATTGCTGATGATGCTGTGTGTCAGCAGACAGCTTATATACTGTTTTATCAGAGGAGAACTGCGATTCCTTCCTGGTCTGCCAACAGCTCTGTTGCTGGTCAGTTTCTTTTCTATACTGTCTGGTTGCAAACAAGCTATAAAGAACTTACAGTTTCTGATTATTTGTTTTGCCAACTCCACATTCCTGTCCGAGTATAGTTTTACTGCTAACTTAGGTTGCATTGTTTCGGTATGCATTTTATTTAAATTTTTTTTGTCAATGATTTTGCATTTGTGTCATTGTGTATTTACAAGCGCTTCCCCGCTTTTGTTTTGCACAGGCTCTACCAGCTCGTCGTTGTGTGACCACTGGATCAACAGGTTACCTGGAAGCAGACCAGCCAGTTTGGCCTCTGGAGCTTCATCCAGACGGACATCCCTGGCTTCACTTGCTGAGTCAGAGTTTCTTCCAGAACGTAATGAGGATGATGGTGAGGATAAACTTTCATTCACATTGAAGATCTTAATTTGTCATAGAACACAATAGTCCAAGTTCAAACCAAGGGTTTCCATTAAGACAATTATACTAAATTTCTTGGACACAAATATCAGAATCAGAAATACTTAAATAATCCCAGAGGAAAATTACTTTTGTTACACGCTCCAGTTACAGTTTTATATATATATATATATATATATATATATATATATATATATATATATATATATATATACACATCAAACTACACAAGATAATAAAAGATAAAAATAAAAAAGATAAAATATATACACCTATAGCTCTTCATATATATATTTATATATATATGTATATATAAGACTATACTAAATGAAGTCAAGGGTAATATAGGCTGGCTTTTTTCTAAGGTAATAAAAAGTGTTTGCATAAATACCAAAAGCTAATTTGAAAGGATTCAAAGTCAACAAGGTGAATGTTGTGGCAAATCAAAGCCTCTGAGCTTTTATAAGATGTCAGTCTGCCTGACAGAACCTGAGGTTTTCTGCAAATAAATCTTTAGGTCGGTTGTAGATCAAAAATGCAGAATATACCAGATCATAATTGTCATTGCAGTATCCATGGATGCAATAATAAAACATCAAAGGGCTGTTTAGTAAAAATCTGGTCTGCTATGTTATTTCAAAGAACATCAACTCAGACTTGTGACAGGAATAAATCTGGTCTATTGGTTGGACTTTAACTGCTGGAGAAGAAATAAACGATACAGGACATGCAGGGATTGTCACAATCAGTTTGAATACATAAATAATAAATGGTTTCGTAATATTTTGCTGCTCCGGGCAGATTGTTTCGGTCTGAATAGGATGATTTTTCATAGGCCGTATTTATGTGAATGTAGCCAAAGATGCAGCTTTTAAAGAAAATGACATAGAGCAGGTGAATTTTTTTCCGATTAATTCACGCTTTTTCCGTAAAACCTTTATAATTGTGTTTTGCAAATTGTCCCAAAAAACATAAATTAGTTCAGAAAAAAATAATTTAGCTTACTGTGTAATCTTTACCTCATTCATTTTGCTACAATTTGAATGTATTGCGTTAAAGTCTTGCATATCTAGAGGATGGATATACTTTGTACATTTAAATTAGAGGTAATTATCAAGTAAAGTGGTTATTATTAATATTAATCCACCTTTTGGTCTGGTGTTTAGACAGATACTTATAAGTATTCATATATGTTGTGTTTTTTTCCTTTATCCATAGAAGAATTTTAACGTTTTACTGTTTTTAGGAGGATTTTCTGTTCGTCCGTTCGTGAGAAGCATCCAGCGGCAGAGCTTGTCCTCGAGGTCATCTATTGCCAGCCCTTTGGCTTTCAGTGACAGCGGAATTAAGCCCTCTTGGTCTCTTTCTGCTAAGCTGCAAATGAGATCCAACTCACCCTCACGCTTCTCTCTAGACTCCCGTTGCTCCCCTCCTCTGGAGCGGATAGGAGAGGCAGTAGATGACAAGGTTTCCACGTCTTGTTTTGGCAGCCACAGTAGACATGAACGGTACTTTGGCAGCAGGACTCCTTTATCTATGATGGAAAGTGAGGACAACAACAAAAGGTTCCTAGACATGATGTACTGCAGGGCTCCTACCCCAGTGGAGAAGAAGAGCAACAAAAGCGACACAACTGAAAACAACAATGAGATCACAGCTGTAGACCAAAACATTCAACCAACTCAAGCAACCCCCTCCAAAGAGCAGAAACGTAAAAGTAGCATCGGAGGGTTTACCTTGAAGTCTGAAAGCACAGGCTCCATTAAGGGTTCCAACAAAGCAGAGCAAGAGAAGACCTCCAAAAAACGTCTGTGCTCAATCAATAAGAACCCAATATCTGACATGTCTTCCAGTACGTCTACAAAAGGCAAGAAGCCGAGTAGCGCTAAAGAGAAGACTGAAAATATGAAGAAAAGCACCTCGACACCCTGTGGAACCCCCTCTAAAACCAAGAATCTGAATCAGACTCCTGAGGCAACCCCTCAACATAAACCTTACCTCCGCTCCACACCTCAGTCTTCAGCTTCACCCTCTCCGACTGCAAAGAAGAACTCCAGCGTAACTGAGAAAGGCTCCACAAGCAGCCGGAAACGACTGATTGAAAGGAGTTTTAGCAGAGACTCTATGAACACCAGCCCACTTGTCGACAGCCATCGAGTCAGCTGCGTGTCCCGATCTTCACTCTCCAAGAACGGGGATAGCAATCGGCTTGAGAGGAGGTCCGTGAGGAGTTCTAGCAGCAGTTCCTCTGTCACCAGCCTGCGCTCTCCCAGTGTATCTACCAGAGACCTGCAACGTAGCAGCAAAGGCGAGGAGAAAGGGTTGTCCTTTTTCAAAAGTGCGCTCCGACAGAGAGAAAGTCGCAGGTCTGCCGATTTAGGAAAAAGTGCCATCCTTTCCAAAAAGGCTTCAGAGAGGACATGCAAGCAGAACGGACCAACTAAGGACGGTGATGATCAAAAGACTGGAGATGCAGGGTCTTTGAAAACCTCGAAAGAAACTGTTGGAGGTGAGTCAAACTCAGAAAAGCAGGAGTCTTCCAAGCCCCCCAGCTCCCTAAGTCGCACTCTACTAGGAAAGTCCAAGTCTTCCACTTCTGTTGTAAGTAGCAAGTCTCGTACAGACGGGAAGAAGCCTCTAGAGAAGACGGCATCTTCCCGAAAGCTGTCATCAAGCATGCAATCTCCTGCACGAACAACACAGAGGCCTCAGTGATGCTTGGTGATGGTAGTTATGATCAAAGATAAAATGCAGCTATTTTCTTTGTGCCTAGGTTTTCGTTAGCACCAGATGTATTTAAGACACCTTATTTGATGTTATGGTTTTGTAAATGTCATTAAATTAGTATTTCTATTTTATTCACCATTGAAAAACATTTCATCATCCCCACATCTGGCATTATAGCAATCGCAAGATATGCTAACAGTATTGGTTTAAAAAGTAGCATTACTGTTTGGTATTTTTTCAGCCTTTTTTTTAAGTGTTCTGTTGATATTATACAAGAAAACAAAACCATAACATCAGAATTAGCCTCTAGTACCAATGATTTTACCGATTTAAAAAAAACATGTTTTTAAAAAAATGTAATTCCAAAATAATTCTAGCAAAAGTTCTAATTGTGCGAATTGTTTTGAGTGGAAACTTTCTCACTTTTTTTTTTTCTTTTTATGTACACATTTTTATAATAAAAAAAACAAAGTCCTAAGTTTTTAAACTGAAAACAATGGGAGAAAATGTAAAAAAAAAAAAATATATTCCTAAATATCAAACACTAATGTTCTTGGAAGCTTAGAATTGATGAGTTGGTAGAAACAAATTGGAATCAATAAGAAATGCAAATAATAAATGGTTCTTTTACTAAAAAAGAATTAGGAAAATGTCGAATTTGCTTTACAGAGGTTTTACAAAATATAGCTTTTTTTCTAAAAGTAGTTTTTTGATATTGTTTTTTTAAATTAAGACATTTACTTTAAAAGAAGATGTGTTAGAATGGAACCATTAAAAATATCTACACATATAGAGACATAAAATAAACTGTACCTGCCCAGCCCCCACCCCTCTGTGAGCAAGATAAAAATGATCTTTAAGCGCCTTTTAATGCTGCACATGGAATAATAAAACTGCCTTTTGGCAAACTAGTCTTGTACTGTAAGCGTCACCTGTAGGAATGTTGTTCAATAGCACTTTGTATAGATAAAAACCTATGACAATTATTATGAAATAGATATTTTAGGGTGTTTTGTAAAGTAGAGCAAGCAGCTTTAGACTTGAAATGGTAAATGGATGCATTCATCTCAATGTTTCAGGGCGTCCTCCCTTCCTTTAATACACCTGGTGCTGTAACAGACCACTACTTCACTGGCACTAATGTTTTTTTTTTCTTTCTTTTGTTAAAAAAAGGTAAATCTTAAATAATAACTGTAACTACGGATTTTCAATGAGCTACAAAGCTGTTTGTGTTTATATCATAACCTTTGGTACCTCGTTGGAGATAATATCTGACGACATTTTGTCTTCTGAAGCCTGAAGCAGTGGATCAGTAATGAGCCATTTAATTAGCTGAAAAACTCAACGGATACTGTGGTTGTTGTTCACATGTGGACATGAATGCTGAACTTTCTCATCTGATTTACCATATAGGACGTGACAGTTTTACAATTAAAGTATTGTGATGTGCAGAGCTTTCTCTCTGCAGCAGCTCTCCCAAACCTCGCTTGTTTTAAGCTGTTAGGTTTATTATTGTAAAACTGTCCGATCCCCTGGCAATACTTGTGCATCTGATAAGAGCACATGCATCTTTATTTATTTTAAAGATTTAAATGTCTCCACAATATCAGAAATGAAATAACCTTTTTTTTCTCGTTCAGATTTGCAGTAATTCTCTTGTATTTGTCAAGTTTACGATGCTTCTTGGATTGTTTGAGAAAAACTCCGCCTGATTGAAGCGCACTGCCTTATTTACATGGTCCGTATGGGATATGTCTTTTATTGTGACATATGCCTGTGAATGTTTCTTTAACGGCTTTCATAGTTGCCCCTTAAAGTTTGAAACGACATGTTAATTAATAATCTTAGGTCCTGTTTGCTTAGCCTCTATAACAAAATCTATGCTAATGAATGAAATCAATGACTTAAAGAAAATGTTGACCCAAATAAAAGGACAATGAAGCTTTTACTAACAGTGTTTTATGCCAATTAAATGAAAGCAGTGGCAGTGACTCAGGTAAAGGCTTGGATCTAACTATATAAACCTCTCTATATCTGTGATCAACAAAAGGCAAAACAAACATACATTTTTAATGAATTTCTAAGTCTGTCCAATACAAAAAAGTACATAAAGGCTTTAGGACGAGGCGTCATTGACAATTATTGAGTTGTTTTGTCACAGACCATGGAAATAATTGCAGTATGTCTGAATTCTGTGGCATTGCTGTAGCTGCTTTATCAATATTATTCATCAGGAACATGTGCGTGGCACTTTTGAATCACAGGAAAACATTTATTTTTGTAGATTTTACCGGGCTGTTTGCGTTGTGTTCGTCTGTTACTGTTGTTCGTATCCGTCTCAAAGGTCAGTCATTACATTCATGTTAACGTCTGTCTACAGGTTCATGGTTAATAGGATGCAACGCCCCTCGACTTACATACCTTTTTTAAAATTTTCTATAATGGATGGATGTGAGTGCTGGACAATCTGGTAAATTATATAAAATGTTGATACTTTAAGAATATGTAAATATAAATAATCGCTGTTGCGCACACTATCTTACTAAAAAGATTTTTTTTCTTATTTCCTTCAAAGCCCTAAGATTTGTTGCATGTTCCATTTCTCATCTTGTTTTATTATTTATAAGTAGCTGATATTTAGTCTCAAAACATGCAAAATAGTTGAACATCTGACTGTTTGGGACACAGTTTGGTATTTAAATGGCAGGCAGCTAATTCTTTGTATTCAGAGAGCTTTTCAGTTAAGATACAACTCAATGCAATAGACCATAGATATTACATACACTATATTGCCAAAAGTATTTGCTCACCTGCCTTGACTCACATATGAGCTTAAGTGACATCCCGTTCCTAATCCATAGGGTTCAATATGACGTCGGTCCACCCTTTGCAGCTAGAACAGCTTCAACTCTTCTGGGAAGGCTGTCCACAAGGTTTAGGAGTGTGTTTATGGGAATTTTTGACCATTCTTCCAGAAGCGCATTTGTGAGGTCGCACACTGATGTTGGACGAGAAGGCCTGGCTCTCAGTCTCCGCTCTAATTCATCCCAAAGGTGTTCTATCGGGTTGAGGTCAGGACTCTGTGCAGGCCAGTCAAGTTCATCCACACCAGACTCTGTCATCCATGTCTTTATGGACCTTGCTTTGTGCACTGGTGCACAGTCATGTTGGAAGAGGAAGGGGCCAGCTCCAAACTGTTCCCACAAAGTTGGGAGCATGGAATTGTCCAAAATGTCTTGGGATGCTGAAGCATTCAGAGTTCCTTTCACTGGAACTAAGGGGCCAAGCCCAGCTCCTGAAAAACAACCCCACACCATAATCCCCCCTCCACCAAACTTTACACTTGGCACAATGCAGTCAGACAAGTACCGTTCTCCTGGCAACCGCCAAACCCAGACCCGTCCATCAGATTGCCAGATGGAGAAGCGCGATTCGTCACTCCAGAGAACGCGTCTCCACTGCTCTAGAGTCCAGTGGCGGCGTGCTTTACACCACCGCATCCGACGCTTTGCATTGCACTTGGTGATGTATGGCTTGGATGCAGCTGCTCGACCATGAAAACCCATTCCATGAAGCTCTCTGCGCACTGTTCTTGAGCTAATCTGAAGGCCACATGAAGTTTGGAGGTCTGTAGTGATTGACTCTGCAGAAAGTTGGCGACCTCTTCGCACTATGCGCGTCAGCATCCGCTGACCCCGCTCCGTCAGTTTACGTGGCCTACCACTTCGTGGCTGAGTTGCTGTCGTTCCCAAACACTTCCATTTTCTTATAATACAGCTGACAGTTGACTGTGGAATATTTAGGAGCGAGGAAATTTCACGACTGGATTTGTTGCACAGGTGGCATCCTATCACAGTTCCACGCTGGAATTCACTGAGCTCCTGAGAGCGACCCATTCTTTCACAAATGTTTGTAAAAACAGTCTGCATGCCTAGGTGCTTGAATTTATACACCTGTGGCCATGGAAGTGATTGGAACACCTGATTCCAATAATTTGGATGGGTGAGCAAATACTTTTGGCAATATAGTGTATGTAATGAATATTGGGATTATATTCATTAGACAAATATTGATATATTTTACTCCCTCTATTTACTTAGGTTTACAACTAAAGGAAGTTTTCATTTCAGTTTCTTACTCAATCAAGATGAGACATTGACCATAATTAGAGATTTTTGATACAGAGACTGTGCCCTACTTGTGGGATGGTGCAGAGTTTCTTATACCGTAAAAATCTCAAACTACCATCTTAATAAAGTTTCTCATAAGAGCGAAAAATGAAGGGCTTTAAAATTTGGGAGATTACTGTGCTGAGTGCGAGTTTCTTCTTGGTAAATCAGCTGACCAACATCAGCAGATGGTCTGGATCCACAAGTTAATACTGGCTGTGGAAACTTCTCACTGCTCCTCAGTTAACTTGGGTTATGTGTCTAAGCACTTTGCTTACGCAATCTGTAACCATGTTTACGACACTTCAGATAAATTCCTCTGGTTCTGAAGCAGCTTAAGACAAACAAAGGAGCATTTAATATTCATTTTCTGGACACCTGTTTGATGACTTGTTTTAACACTGGCTGCAGGCCATTTGCCAATATTCCCACAATTCTTTAATTGGTCTTTGAATCAAAATCCTCTCCAAGCTATGGTTATCCTTGTCTGTGTTCCTTTTACTAGTAAGCCATTCTTCTCCCACTATACTTTCTATTGATGTGCTTGCATTTAACGTTTATGATCAGTCAGCTTCTTAATAGGTGACTTTTTATGTCCAGTACACTTTCAAGTAAGCAACCTTCCCTAAGTCCGTAAAAAAAATCCCCTATTTAATAGTATTTATATTTTCTAGGGAACTGAAATTTGGATTTCCATGAGCTGTAAACCAGAATCATGTAAAGTACCAGAGATGAACACATAAAATCTCATTCAGTGGATAATTTCTATATTAGAGTTTCACTTTTCAGTAACACATTTTGATTCATGCACCTATTTATTTTTTGCCTCCAGAATTTTTCATTAATAGAGTAAAACAAATAGGATCAAGAACACACAATTTCATTGCAGACGATTTACCTCTACCCATGATGCGCCTGGTTATTATAATGGTGTCCCAACAGCTGGATAATGTGAGATGAGTGTATAAATTAAACAAATAGAGGCAGACTCACTTAACTGCTTGTTATAATGCCAGTTAAAAATGCTTGACCTGAATCTCAGTCTTTGTCTACCTGCCTGCAATGCAGTGCAGAACATGTCTGTTTTATTTTTATTTTTCCTTTGCCATTTCTTGTAAACGTTTCATTGTACAGACTTAAAAAATTATTAATGAATGCAGTATTGCATGAAAACACAAATGCATGCTTTGTTTTATTAAACTATGCAAGAGTCAGCTGTGTAACATATAAAGCAATGCATGGCTGGTATATCCCATTGCTTAATTTGCACACCTTCCCGATATTTCTGAAATACAAAAACAAAAGAATACTTAATTTTATATTAAAGTGTGTCATTTAATTTCTTCATAGTTTTTATTCTGTAAGAAGAAGTATTTCTCCTTCATCTGTAAAGATTTTATTCAACTCCTCATAGGTGCTCCCACCAGTCTGGTGGGTTTCTGTCATTGTTTAACATTTACCATTTTACACCAGCAAAGATAACAGTATGGATGTGAAAATTTAAAAGCGGTTACTATGTCAACTCATGATCTATAACTGTGTATTTTGAAAGCCTTTCATTAGTTTACTTCAGTCGAAAGGAAAGTTAGTGAACCCATGTTATCATTTGCTGAGCTGCATCAAAGATGCGGTTGTTCTGATATATATAGATAAATAAGAAGTTAAAGGAATAATGCAATAAATAGAGATAGTAAATGTAGTTTTTTTAAAGCTGTAAATGTTTTATCAGACATCAATCATTTCAGTCACACTGTGATTCTAATTTTATTATTGACTCAAATTTCTAAGATGCAGTTTTTCAAATGACTTCTTTTCATGGTTTGTGAACTCAGCAAACAGGTCAACTCTGTTTAGATAACAAGACATGTAAAATACATGGGAATGCATTTTGCTGCTTATCTAAAGTTGCATTAAACCTCGAAACTCTAGTAGCAGCATCCTGTATTTGAGTTACATCCCTTGGTTCTGCAGATTCTTTGGCACTTTAAACATACACCCTCAAGTAGAGCTCATGTTTAAAAGCCTTGCAGTGCTTTAAGATAGGCTTTTGAGGCATTTTTCAAATGTAAACACTACAGATGTAATATAATAAAACTGTTCGCTAGCCTTAAGCAATGTCACATGTAAAGGATATTATGTATCTCTGAATGATGCTGAATTTAGAAAGCTGCGTAATAAAGGAATGTCTTGAGTCTCATTTTTCTGTTAAGCTAGAAATCATTCGGAATAAACAGAATGTCTTTCCTTTCACATGTTTTACATTTTTTATATAATCCACAAGCTGTTTTGTATAATATGTTGCAAATGTTGACATTTCTTTATTTTTTGAAAGTGTGAAAATACTTGTTTTTTTTATCAGACTAATGCAGGCTGAGTTGTCTGGTCATTGAACTTCATTGCAGCCTTTATTCCACAATCTGCTTGTACATTTTCTTTTATTTAATGGTTTTGTCACTAGGTAGTTCATAGTCTTCTAGATTTAAGTTAATTTATTTTTTTTATTTTGTTTTTTCTATCATTTGCACTTTTATATTTGTTTCGTCCAAATGGACAGATGTATATATACTTTGGTAGTCCATGCAAGTACAAAATTAAACTTATTAAAATACTGAAAGCGTTTTGACTTCTTCTTAAAAGGGTTTAGGAACTACTAGTACACATGTTTCACCAGCAGGTGGAGCTTTCCCCAAACAAACTAGCCCACAGCATTTCATCATTCTTCACTTTGCAGCTAAATTTGATTTGCAGC